TCTGTGTCTGTCGGGCCCCGAACTGCCCCTGAGCCGCAGCCACTTCCCAGCCACCGGGAGGCAGAGGTCTGAGGACCCTGCCCCAAAGCCAGCCTAGTAGACAAACCCGTGGGGCCCTTTCATCTCCAGGTAGCCAGCCAAAACACTTGAGCCATGTCTCAAGCGGCAGAGCACCATCCCTGAACCACGAAAGGCATGCAAGAGCAGGAGACCCTGCATTCGGTCCCCAGGACCACCTCCGTGCAGTCCGATCCACCTTCCTGTGGGGGCTGTGTGTCTTCAGGGCTCCTACGTCCCAGGTGCCCCTCCACGGGGAAGTCATCGGTGGAGAGGCTGTCAGTCCCAGGGTCCATAGGAATACCTTGGCAGCAGCCCTCCACCCCATCCTGCCACCTCCACACACTGGAACTGCAAAGTGCCTGAGGCTTCTGATTGGCTTGGGGACTGGAAAGGGTGGTTTCCTGGAGAGCCAAGGGAGAGCACACAGATAGCCCTGGAAGTCCCCACAGAGCGACCCTGGGCATGGGAGCCAGAAGCAGGGACGGAGGACGGGATTGGAGGGTGGGCAGGGAGGGTGTGATCTGGAGGCTCAGGTCCTCCAGCCGTGCAGCTGGAAGAGGGGGCTTGCCCGACTGCCTTCTAGGCCTCTAGGGGCACACTTACCACATTTGCACGTCAGTCCACCTGGATCATGCTGCTGTGCCTTAGCCATGACCCAGGTAGAGCTGTAACACCTTGATGAGAGGGGAGAGAGCGCCCCCAGATACCAGTGGGGGTGGCTCAGGCTGTGCCCACCACAGCCCCAGCCCACTCACCACCCCTTCCCTCACAGGGACGCCCTGGATGCCCTGGGTCTGAAGCGCTACTGCTGCCGCCGCATGCTGCTAGCACACGTGGACCTCATTGAGAAGCTGCTCAACTACGCACCTCTGGAGAAGTGACAGAGGCATCTTGGCCTCTGCTGACCACGGTGGTCAGCACCACGCTGAGCTCAGGATGAGGCCTGGGCAGGTCCGCCGCTCTGCCTGCCTCTGACACTGGGACTCCACGGCTCCCATTCTGGACAGAAGCACTCAGTAAAGTCATTGTGGAACCAACAGGTCCTGCTTGCTTTTCTGGGGCTCCCTGCGGCCTGTCTCCTGGGAGCCCTTATTTCTGCTCCCTCGGTCGCAGAGACGTCAGAGCCAAGGTCTTGACCCAGCCATTCCCATGGGGACAGCCTGCTGTAGAAAGGCCCAGCTGGGCCTTCCAGTCCTGTCTTGCCCTCAGGGCCTCCCCTGAGGGGTTGGTAGGTGATGGTGGCCCTTGCTGTCCTGGAAGAGGACACATCCGCACAGCGGAGGTGGGAGTCATTCTTCGTTCCTAGCCCCTCTCTGAATCTTTGTTTTTACTTGGTGGTGCCGTCCAAGCTCAGAGCTTTCTGCTTGTTAGGAACACGGTCTACACTTGCGTCATGATTCCAGCCCTTCTAGAATCTGAAGAACCAGGTTGTTGAGAGCCTGAAAAGCACCTGCTGTGGTCACAGCTGCCTGGTCCCACCTGCTGCCACACCTAGGCCAGGTTCCTGCGGAGGAGGGCTGTACACCTACCCTTCCCCTTGGCAGGTGCCCTAGCACATAATCCCAGGCTTGGGTTTATGGGAAGTGGAAGCCCGACACCCCTGGCTCATACCATAATCCTAGCTACTTCAGAGGTTGAGATCTAAAAGTTGCAGTTCAAAGCCAGCCTGGGGGGCTGGGAATGTGCCTTAGTGATAGAATGCTAACCTGGCAAGCCTGTCCCCACAAACACAGAAAAAGCCGGAAGTGGTGCGGGGGCTTAAGTGGTAGACTGCTAACCTGAGCAAAAGAAGCTCTGAGTTCAGGCCCCAAGATTGGCAAAAAAAAAAAAAAGGCAGCCTGGGCAGAAAAGTCCAATTAACCACC